GGCGCGCGCGCGCCCGCGGGCGCCCCCCCCAAACCAACGGCCCCGTTTTGGGGGGCACGCTTATCTCTGTCCATTGTCCTCCCTGTTAGCTTCCACAGCCATTTCATCCAACGCCGCTTCCTGCAACACGCTGTCCTTCCCTCTCTTCCATGGCATCTGTCTCGCGGACCTGAACCTGCATCACTACCAACACCTTCTCCCAATGGAGCTTGGAGATGCTGAGGCCTAAAGTCCTCTCCCCCTCCCATCCTAAAGAATCTTCCGGTAGACGGGACCAAGATGGCTTGACTTCCACTTCGACAGGAGCAGTTGGATTTGGGGTCCTTCCTGGTGGAATCCCACTGAAAAAAATGAACTGAGCCACAGCCAGTCCTTAAGATCTGTGAGATTTGAGGACAGACTCAACTGGGATGTAGTGTGATCTGATGCCTTGGTTACCCTGATGAAACTAATCCCTGGAAGAATTGGTGAGCGCCTGTTTTTTGCTATAGGAATGGATCAGTCTGGAGATTTTTTGCTTAAAGGGAGGGGGTTCCTGCTGGTTGGATTCTAGTGGAAATGGACTGATCTGAGGTGGGACCTGGTAGAAGGAAAACCTAGTAGACTGGATTTTGCTGCTGTCTAATTGGGGAGTCAGACTAGACCAGCTTGAATTTCACGGAAAAAAACGATGGAGTAACCTTGGTCCAGACATGGCAAATGGGGCTCTGTTCTTCTGGATGCATCCTTTAAGCTGGCGGCAGACTCTGCTCTCCATCCCCACCAACCCTCCTCCTCCTCCTCCTCCTCCTCCTCCTCCTCAGCAAGAGCTGATTTTGCCATTCTCCTAAGCAGTCATCATCATCGGAAGAAAAAACGGTAAAGGCTTGGGTTATTTTCCAGCTCCCTATACCTTGTCCAGGCTGACAATAGAGGGAGGGGGCAGGATCACGGCCTGCAGGAAGAGGCAAGGGGGAGGGGGTGATCCTTTGAAATGACAGCTTCCCTAGCCCCATTTCTTCCTGGGAGAAGGAAGGAGGACTGGCCCTGTCTCCAAGGCAACAGCTCTGGGGCATTCCTAGCCAGCCTCCCTTGATAGGGTGTGAACCCTGAGCTACCAGAACAGGATAGGGTGGATTGAGAGGCAGGGTCTTTGCTTTTTCTCCCCCCTCCGGTGCCATCCCCCCACCCACCCACTCACCCCCAGCCAGCCGGTTGGGACAGCATCTCTACCACTCCACTGATTATCCAGACCGGAGAAGCAGAGGTGAGCAGGCCCAATCACCAGATAAAACCGCATGCTCAAAACTGGTGATGCAGAATTGTTGTCTGTGACCATTCCTTGTGAACTCCCCTCCCGCCTTCTCTTCCTGTGTCCTCTTCCCATATCTCCATCGCTCCACAGATCCACTTAGTGCTATCTCTGTTGTCCCAGACCGACAGAGAAGCACATGCATATGCTTCCTACCCTATTCACCCTGCATCCCAGCCACCACAATAGGAAACCCCCCTCTCCTCCCACTCATCCATCTCTGTCTTCCTGCCTCCTCCCATGTATTGCTTTTCCACTTCACTCCTTTTCAGATGTCTCCATGGAGCCACCACCTGTTTCCTTTCTTCCTTTACATGGGGGCAGGGAGCTAAGGGTGGGGACAGCTTTCTTTTTTTTTTTTTAATCATTCCCATTTGCTCGTGATCAAGCTGGGTGTGGGAATCTTATTTCCCTTTTTGCAAGAACTACATCGATCCCAGTTCTCTTGCTGCTTGCTAATCCTTTGGTCTGCTCCACCCTGTTGCTCTTGAACCCACGCCCAGTCTTCACTCCATGGTGGCTTTTCCTTCATGGTGTCTATATCCATTTCTATAAAGATATGGGAACCAGGGGAGAAAGACCGAATGTATCTCATGCTGAAAGCTCATCATCCCACCCCCAAATTGTCACCTGAGAAGCAATTACCTAGGCTTGACCCTCTGTCAAACTGAGGCATTACTTTTGTAACAATTCCGTTAACACAGTATCTCTCTTTTTTTTTTTTTACCACTTGAGACTACTAATAAAAATATAACCAAACGCTTAAAGTCCAATGTGTGCAGAATGATGAAGTAGGCTGAGGGCAGGAGAATGTGGGATCCCTTTGTTCTCATCCACTAGGCCTAGCCTGTATTTAGCAAGCTGTCAACCAAATCTAAAGGATTCTTCGTTCAGTTTGATAAGCTACTCCGTCAAAAGGAGTATATCGATTTTGAGACAAGGTACTAATTCCCCCTCCCCCACCTGATGCTTTAACAGAAATTAGTAGTAAGCTGTGTGTAAAACATAAATATTTCATCTGAGAACATCTGGATCAAAATTCTTATCACTGACTACAATAAAACAACATTAACAAGAACCTCATTTAATGTCACCCAGATGTAAATTCGGAGGTGTTGAGGTTTGGGATCTGAATGTTTAGCTTAGTGCTGCTACCATTGGATTGCCATCTAATGTGCTGTCAAAGAGAAATTTCTGTTGGAACAAATATTCCAACAATTGTGCTTATAAATTCATGTTTGATCCTTGAGCTAGTCATACTCTCTCAGCTCAAACTGCCTCACAGGGTTGTTGTTGTGGGGGAAAAGGGAAGGAGAGAGTGCCATGGATATAACTTTGAGCCCCTGAAGGAAAGGGGAGATATAAATCAATCAATCATAAATAGCCACTTATCTAGGCATCTTTGGTCAGTAAAAGTCATCTCCATATTATTAGCTAGAAAACTTTATAAAAGTTACTTAGTTGCACTTCAGAGATTAAGTAAGAAGGATATAACCATGGAGGTTAGTGTACCCAAAATTAATTATGGGCTAGTAACTTTAACTGATTTATTTGCAAGCTTGAATAAGAAATTATTATTATATTATTAGAAATAATATAACGTTAGATAATTAAATTACTCCACTATCAATGATGTAAAGAAAATGTTACTGGTGTGTCTGGAGAGTTTAATAATTATACTTAACAACTTCCTGCTTAAAAATTAGCAGTAAACCAATTATGTGTCACAAGTTAATCAAGTAAAATAACATTAGGACTTTATTTGCTTTTGTTTAAGGTCTTAGTAAGATCTTAGTAATGTATAAGTGTGGATATGAGGCATGCATGAAGATCTGTGTCCAAGTGTTGAATGAGTGTGTTGTGCAACACAGCCCTAAGATTTATCCAGTAATTAAATCCTGATTTCAGTGGAACTTTCTCTCTATAGTTATGTTAGAAATTTCTCTCTTATTGTAGCATTTGCATAGTCCAGGACCTCTTTAGAAGATGCTTTTGTTTCAGGTCAGCCAGATGTATACAACCAGAATCAACATTTTTGTGAATGAACATTATTTAGTGAACAAAGGTACATTGTTGCATAAATGTACTTATTAATTTATAAATCCTATTAATTTTTCTTGGTTTATTCATGGATTGGGTGGACTGCCATTTAATTGAATTATCATAAAATTCTGCAATTCATTCAGATTCCACAAAACTATTTGTCCCCCATAATTGTAAAAATCCTTTGTATAATTTTAACAGTTATGCATCTGCCATTAATATTGGGCATAATTATTCATAGGTCATCCTGATTAGAAAAACCAGTGAAATGGAATAGGCAAAAAGATTAGCATTTGTTGCCCTGTTAACCATGTTCAACAGGACCTTCCCCTTTATACATGTGTCACTTTATACAGACATGGAATAGCAAGGACCCTATGTGCATGCATGTTTATATGACTCAGGTTAGAATGAATATGTCTCATTTTGTGCCTGTGTGCAGGCCCATGCATTTTTAGATATCCCCAAGATTATGCAAAGGTTAATGAAACAGTCTAACAGGAACTGCAGTGGGGTCACTAAATGTATTTTATCAATGTTATTTGAAGTGTGTCAGTGGGCATTATAATAACAGTAGGTGTTACCGTTGAAGAACACAGCCAGGTATTGACATCCCACTTTCCATTCTGGCTGACAGGTGTTGCTCTTACAGTATCATTCCTGGCCTCGGCTGTGACCGTCCACCCCTTCCATTCCTGTGACAGTACTTTCTTATCACATGTGCAGGAGCACATCTGTGGAAAGGAGTTCTGAGACACCCTTCTGGAGTCTGGAATGTAGAATAATTTGCAACCTAAGGGGGAAATCTAGTTTAGGGATCAAGAGTTGGGCCAAACACTAGGCCCTTAAAATAGATGTGGCTCCCCTCATCAGCTACTATATTTCTACACACTAATGGGATCAGAGTTAATAGTGACTGATGAGGAGAGAGATCTTGGAGTAAAAGTAAACAGTGCAATGAAGGTGTTGATACAGTGTACTTGTGCTGTAAAAAAGGCCAAAAGTATCCTATCCAGAAAGGCACTGATTATATTCTTATGTCCCCAAATCCATCTTTAAACAGTATTGAAAATAAAGATGCCAGTATTATAGTGCCCTTATATCAATCAATGGTACAACTGTATCTGGAATATTATGTGCAGTGATAGCTGCTACAGCTCAAAAAAGATATATTAGAGCTGGAGAAGGTCCCTATGAGGAAAGGTGACATTTGAGGCTTTTTAGTGTAGAAAGGAGGTGAATGAGAAAGGACATGATTGGGTATACAAAATTACGCATAATTGTGGATAAAGTGGACAAGGAGAAGCTATTTTTCCCTTCCCAAAATACTAGAACTAAAGGTCACCTAATGAAATTGAATCCTGGAAGAATCAGGACAGACAAAAGGATTTTTTCTAATACAACATATAATTAAACTTTGGAATTCACTACCATGAGATGTGGTGCTGGCTACCAGCTTGGCTGGCTTCAAAACAGGGCTGGACCTATTCAGGGAAGTTGTGAGGATTAATGGCTATTAGCCTCGATGGCAGCGTGACTGCCTCTGAAGGCCGTCTGCTGGGAGACTAGTGGGCTTCCTTGTGCAGTTGGCTGGCCCCTGTGAGAACAGGCTGCTGGATTAATTGGCCCAGGATCCTATCCAGAAGGGCATTGATTATGTTCTTATGTCCCCAAGTCCATCTTAAATTTGTCCTTTCGTCAAGCTAGCTGCTGACCACAGGTCTGGAGGATCCTCTACTGCAGCCCGGAAACTGTCAGGTTGGGGAAAGCTACTCCATTGCAAGCCAGAATGATCACATTAGATCAACCCTGTTAGATCAACCTCTGCAATTCAAACCAGTGGACTACAAACAGATGTTTCCTTCAGAAGACCCAAGTAAGTGAACCAAGCTACATGTCATAGGAAAGGAGAAGACCTAGTTTAAACAAAATTCCCCTTTTAGTAGGATTAGGTGGTTGAATCAGCTTCTTTGGGACAATAGGATAGAGAACCTGAGCAGGGAAAAAAGTGCAACAGCAATACTGTTCAGTGGCCAGGAAAATGATGTTCAACGTAAAAAAGCCTTTGCCAGCCTGATGTTCTCCAGGTGTCTTGGGACTGCAACTCCCAGCCCAGCCTTTGCTCATTATGGCTGTAGATTATTATTGCAGTCCCAAGACATCTTCAGAGTGCCAAGCTGGGGAAGACTGATATAGAGAAAAGGCCTATACAGTAAACATCAGCAAGGATGTGCATGTGGGTGAATTTGTGAGAAAATGATGGAACATGGAATCATAAATCATATATTGTGTAACAGTCCTGAAATTTGTGATGGATAGAATTTGTATCTTTACCACATAGTCAAAAACCTTTCAGGTAGGAGGTCTTTAAGTATCTGCAAACACTAGATTAGGAGCTACTTTGAGGGTGAGGACATGAATGAGTTCACTAGGCCTGTTATTGCACCTAGGAAGCCCCTATAAAGCTAACTTCTCTTCCTGATCAGCAAGCTAACACTGACCAAGGCTGTTGACATAGCTGCGG